TTTCCATAGAAAACCTATTTCTTTTAAAAGTTTCCATAGTGTGCTTCGACTCATTTCAGGGTAATCCTTATCATCTCGAACAGTGGCAAGAACTTTGTCTACTGTCGGAAATTCTTTTCTAAAGAAAAACGCATGCACTTTCCTTCGAAGTCTTTCTTTCAAAAGATTTTCTAATTGAAATTTTGGTTTTCCTGGAGCTTTACGTGCTGTTTGAAACTCGCCACATTTCTCTTCTTTAACAACTCTGTAAATCGTAGATTTCCCAACACCAAGCGTACTACTAACTAATTCCACTGTGTCATCAACACTTTTACATAAATGTTTGTCTGTAAATGATTTAAAACAATTAAATATTAATGTTTTTTCATTAGCTGTTAAAGGACCGATTTTTTGTCGTTTACGCGGCCCTTCCAAATTTTCCATGATCACACTAGAATTCACACTGCACCTTGCAAGTTGCAACTAAACGACATTTAGTAAACTGTCAAGAATACACAACTTGGACCTCCTTACTAAATGGAAAACCTATAATCGCATTTTCGGTGAAATTTGTTGGGAAGGTATTTATCTACTTATAGTTCGATTACTGTAAGAAATTCTTGGAATTAAAATAAAACAAAATTGGCAAATAGGTACTTATTGAAAATAATCTTAAGATACGGCTATGTAATCTTTAATACACAGGGCTTTTGGCCTGTCCAAACCTTTTTCTATTGTTCTGTACAGCTTATGTTTATAAAGGACCAATAAAAGACCCAAAACTTGTAATAGCTCAGGTACATTTATTACAATTTTAGGAAATATTTAGATTATTCTGTAAAAATATTTAAAATGACCGTAAGTTTTGCATTAGAAATGCTGTTTTATTACTCTCTCATACATAAAAATAGACTATAGTAACATCGAAGAAATCACATCAAATACAGATTATTTCTTCCTCACTCCATTTTCTCACACATAATTATTTAATTTATTACTTAGGAAAATTAAAAGCAAAAGATCTTCTGGAGCCGATGACGTACTATGTTTTGTACTAAAACAATTATTAGATGTTCTGTCTGAACCTTTAACATTTTTGGTAAACTTATCATTTGAAATGGCACAAGAAAAATGATCGTAGACAAATAGAAAATTATAGACCTTCTCCCGGCCAGGTTCTGATTCAGGAAGATTTGCAACACGCCGTTTTGTCTAACATGTTCCTATTCCCTGTGGTCTGTCTAAAATCTTTGTAATATGCCTTTCTTGATCGTTTTCTGTCTTTCTTGAAAACGTACAACATTATAACAGGAAATCAGCATGAATTCTGTGCTGAAAAATCAACAATAACTGCTATGCTTTCATTTTACAAAAAAATTATTCACCATTTGGAGGAATCTGAATATCCAGCTCTTATCTTTTGTGATCTCAGTAAAGCATTCGATTGTATAAACCATGAGCTGCTATTAAATATATTGGAGAAATATGGAATCAGAGGCACTGTTTTTAATTGGATCTTAAACTTTTTACGTGCTAGAAAGCAATGTATATATCTTTAAAAGTACAAAACGACAACAATTCTGATACACTAGATACTATTAAGGGAATTCCTCAAGGTTCAACTTTGGGACCTAGTAAAAATAAAAAATTACATCGAAAATTGCAATAACACCGACCTACTCCTACCTCTAGCGGTTAAGGTACGAACTTTTTAATTTATTTGACCCTAGTAACAGCTGTTGACCAAAAAGGTTTGTTTTGCGCTTTTATTTATCGGTTTTATTGCATGTTATATTCAAATTTAATGCAATTGTACATTACAGCAGGTACACAAATTGACAAATACGTTTTTTGAGAAAATTATTCAAAAATTAAATTGGGAATTACTTAATTGATTACTTGAAACAACAAATAATAAAAAAAAAACTTTGCATGTAGATTCTAACCACTTCATTATGAATTGATTTGAGTAATTGAAAGTTTTTAAATCTGCTTTGGGTGTAGGCACGTCTATACCAATAACAAATCTTAAGTATTTATCTACTCTCAAGTCAAACAGGATTTATCACATTTCTATTAACCTTAATCGATTTATGACAGATGATATGCTTCAGACGTATATTTGTTCTTGCAAACAGTACGAATGTGATTTGATTAGTGTGCGTGGACTTCTTTTGTAATCTATAACAACGAAGCGATGGTCTGAATACGAAAAACGAATCGGCACACCCACACTTACCATTTTTAGCGTTCGCGAGGTTGATACTAATAAAAACAAAGCTATTAAATAAGTGGGTATATAGAACTTCGGTAGCTGTCACTGATTAACAATTGGAGTAGGTATTTCAAATATTCGAGAACGAAGGGATCGCCCAGACGTCCTACTCGAATATGAATTCATTGTAGAGGTTGCGATGACATTCTAGAATGCCAGTGTGATACTTTTGATAGATTATTTTAACTAATAATCATTAGATGCTTCTATGGTACATTTTTTTTTAATCGTTGATTTGAATTTAGGTATACTTACGCGGGTTTCGGATTAACAAAATTATGCAAATTAGGCATTGACAACCAGTTCCAATAAGCCTCTTCCCAAGAAATTAGGTAAAATTGCCCTAATGGTCAGATTTAAATTAAAATAACATTAGGGTAGGTACTAAATTTCTTACAAATATTGCAGTTGAATTGATTCTTTGCAAGTGTTGACATTGAATGTATATTGTAAATTTAGTGGAAATTTTAAAAATGCCTAGTGGTGTGTTACATGTAGATAGTTTAATTTGTAGTGTACATAAGTATTTTACGGATGAAAAAGAAAATGGCGGTCCTTTAAAATCGGTAATGTCTGTACAACAACGCGTATGCGATGCTCTAGGAATTAGTGAAACCAAATTAAGAGGAGTATTACAAAATCACAATAGTAAACTGCCGAAAGAAGATCACCGCAAAACTCGCTCATCATTGAAAATGAAAGATATTCCAGATGGAAAGAAATTTGAAATTCGTGATACCATTTATCGAATGAGGGCCAACAAGAAACATGTGACCTTAAATACAATTCTCTCGGAATTACTAGATAGAAAATTTGACGACATTGGCAGAACAAGTCTATGGCAAGTGATACATAACCTGGGTTTCAAATTTCAAAAGGAGGATAACAGAAAGGCCCTTTGTGAAAGAAGTTCTGTTGTGCACAAGAGAATTAACTTTCTAAGAAAATATTCTAAATTTAAAGAAGAAGGGGCGAATTTTATATATTTAGACGAAACACGGATATTTTCTTGGGGTGCAACCAAGAGAATATGGCAAGATGATAACGTAAAATCCATCAAACATACCGATGGAGAAGGGAAGTGACACATAATTTTACATGCAGGAGGGAAATCGGGTTTTATAGAAGGTGCTAATTTAATATTTTCATCTAAATCACGATAATATGAACACAGAAATGTTTGTAAAATGGTTGCATGAAAAACTTCTCCCAAGTTCAAGTGAGCCCGGCGTAATTATTTTAGAGAATGCTCCTTATCATTCTGAAGTATTAAACGAGTCCAACGAATTCTTGGACTGTTGATAAAATTAAAGAATGGTTGACATATACCATTTCCTCAATATATATTAAAATACGAATTATTACGCTTGGCAAATATACACGCAAAACCAAAAACCTTTGTTGTGGATCAGATTATTGAAAGTTACGGTCATCAAGTTTTACGTCTGCCACCGTATCATTGCCAGTTTAATCCCATCGAATATATATGGGGAATAGCAAAACAATATTATGACAACCATATTGGGCCTAATGGTTATAGTGACGACGCAGTTCGGGAAACTTGGCGAAAAGCACTTTCAATTGCAACTCCAGAAGTGTGGCGGAACTGTATATCTAAGTGCGAGAAACTAATAGAAGATTGGTGGACTCGTGAAAATAAAATAAACGAAATAAGTCCAATCATAATAACAATTAATGGTGATGACAGTGATGATGATGATGATTATGATATTTTGAATGATAATGACTGATTTTCATTTTTGTTGGCAAGTTCATTTTTTTTTATTTTTTATTTGAAATTCTCTACATGGAACAAATTTTTATGTTAGAAAATATTTTATTTGAGCTAAATAACCCTCTTATTATACATAGACCATATTTTCTGTGTGAAGTGTAATATAAAATTATTATTATTAGGTTTATAATAGCCACATTAGACTCCATTAATGAAGAAGTTTAATTATGCTCTCAATTATACAAAAGATTCTCCATTATTATTTATTAAAAAGTTGTACATTATTTTTCATTTCATTTAACCAGTTGATATTTCCCCAAAGAACAGGTCTTACTTTCGGGTACTTACCTGGAAATACTCATAAAAATTTTAATCCAAAACCCGCGTAAGTATAGCGAACAGACTATAGTGTTACTTTTAATCCCAAGAAATTTAAAAAATTCCTCCTTGTTATTTATTGATTAAATTTAATTCAATCAATGTTCAAGTGCAACAATTTTGTCAAATGCACAGGGTTTATTTTTATTTAAATAATATAACTTTTTTCATTCAAAATTTAATCTACAAAGTGCATATATACCATTTTGTATATTTATATTAGAGAAACTTATTTTGCAAAGTACGTCCATGGAATATGATCTTATATCATCACTTTTACTGCACTCCTCTTTTATTCAGACTCTACTATGAATTTTATTATTCCTAGTGTTTGATTGATGGGACGTGAGACTCAAAATGAATCCAAAATCATCATTTAGCTAATATGAACCCTTAAGTTTATTTAAAACCCCAACAATTTCTTAGAAAAAGAAATACTAAACCAAAATGTTTAAAATCCTCATGGTTACACAAAACCATTTTTATTTCAATTTAAATGACATGTACTTGTAACTCCTTTCAAATCAAGAATGCCGCAAAGATTATTACAAAAGAGTATGCATATTTATCTTGAGCACTCTCCAAAGAATGTCTGAATAAGGAGGCTTTGATATTCAAGGATATTATACTTACGTTCACGACAAGACGTTCCCCTGAAACAAATAGATAAAAAACGTGAATTATTTTATTATAACAACATGTTCTAAATTATTTTTAATAGAAATAAGAGTTAAATGTTTATTTATTTATTTATTTATTTATTAGGGACACAAACAGGACAAATCCAGGATAGTATCCACGAAAAATATCCAAAAAAAAATGGTAAAATGAAAACTATGCTACAATTTTGTTTGTAAGGTACTTAAAAATCTGTAACAAACAAAAAAGTGGTACATTTTAAAATTTAAATTAAAGTAAGAAAAGAAAATATAAATACAAAATACAAATATATAAAGTGAGCCTTAAGTGTACCTTTAACCATAGTACAATTTTGGAAAAAATTACTATTTGTTTTAAAAATTAATTTTCCTATGAAGAAAAAAGGGTATTGAAATAAAAATAATGCCAAATTGTTATTAAATATAAAATATATGTTTAAAAAATTAACAAACTTATTTAAGAAGCAAACGAGGGGGTCAAATATAATCAAATTTTATTAAAAATCCATTTAAAAATTAATTATCCTATGAAGAAAATTGAAATAAAATTAGTGTCAAATTGTTATTAAATATATTAAGACATCTTTAAAAAATTAATTGCTAAGGAAGGGGAAAAGAGGCCAAATTAAAATTCAATTAAAAAACCATTTAAAAATTAATTTTCTTATGAAGAAAACAGAGTATTGATTTAAAATTAGTACCAAATTAGTAATAAATATCAAATAAATTTTTAAAAAATTATCAAAATCGCTTAGAAAGGGGATAAGAGGTTCAAATTGAATTAAATTCCAATATTAAGTCATTTAAAATTAAATTTTTCTATGAAGGAAATAGGGTATTGAAATAAAAATGGTGCCAAATTGTTAAGAAATATAAAAAACTTAAAAAAAAAATAAAAATGGCTTAGGAAGGGGATGAAGGGGTCAAAATAATTAAAAATCCATTTAAAAATGTATTTCCCTATGAATAAAATCAACTATTGAATTAAAATTAGTGCCAAGTTATTATTAAATATAAAATACGTCTATAAAAAATTAACAAAACTGATTAGGAAGGAGATGAGAGATCAAATTAAATAAAATTCAATTAAAAATCCATTTAAATCTCTAATTTTCTATTTATTAACAATTTGGCACTAATCTAATAGTGTTGCTGTCAGTTGTCGCCACATATTCATTAGTGACATACGTTTCATAAATTCATCGTGTTACATATTTGTTGACATAAAGAAATAGAAATTTAAAGTGACGTCTTGTATTACTTCGAATGAAAAAATCGATAATGCAATTTTCTAACAAAAAAAATCGTGATTATATGTCAAACAAAGTTGAACTTGGCCTTAACTGGATTTTTCCAAAAATGTCAGTTAAACTCCTCAAACCCCTCGTATCCACCCCCTAGGATCCGCATTTAAACTCTACTTTATATTCAGACCAAAAGTGAAAGCAAAAAAAAAAGAATTGCCGCAACTTTTAACGCAGGAAACGAAAAAAAAATTTCACTTTTCGTTTTCATTCAATACCATCGAAATAGTCGATGGCACCAGACCAGACCGACCAAAAGGGAAACTTCGTAACAAAACAACACGCGATACGTTTGAATGTTATCTCGCGATCTGTTCTTCGATGGGCAGTGGAACAGAAATAATCAACTCATAGTTCTTCCTTTCGACGATCACCAAATGGAAAAATCATTCATAAAAAATCGTTGTTGTTGCATTTCTCGTTTGGTTATGTAATTCGGTTGGATTGCATAATGAAATCCATTAGTTTATTTTACCTATGCGTGCTTTGTTTAATATAAAATAAGGGAAACTCCTTAGTTGTAGAAAATCGGTATAAACAATGTTTTATTCACAACAGTTTTAAATTTAACTCATCATAAATTTTTATTTCCCGTTTATATTCCTTGCTTATAAATAAAAAGATATTTAACATAAAAATTTAAATTGATTCCTGTTTGCACACAAAAGGTTTGGAAAACCAAAACATGTAGTTGTTTGGACTCGAAAGTAAAAGTAAAAGTCAAATCAAATTAAGATTTTATCCTTAGGTCATTTCAAATTTTGCATATCATCACGATTGCTTAATAATATCATAGTTAATCATACTAGTCATTTACTAATCAAAATCAAAATTGCAACATTATAATTTTAATTTCTATTTTTTTTTTCCGGGCAGTTTCAAATTTATAATTATTATTAAATGAGTCGATTTTCTTCTATCCAAGTTTATTTAAATTGTACAAGTGTTGAATAAGTTTCTATCACTGTCACATATTTACTCTACTTTTCCAAAAATTGCTTTTAATTAATTCAAATTTGGTACGATATTAAAAACAGGATGCGTCTATATTCTGCTCAGTTAATATTTTGTTGTAATTAATTAACTTTTTTATTATCACGTTGATACGCTTTTATTTGTAAAATATTATTGCACTAAAAATACGACAGAATCCAGAAGAATTATTGTATCGTTATGAATCTGGCCCAATTTTAATTGTTGCTTTATACATTCCATTATTTTGATAATTTATTTTATATACAAAAAATTCAATGTCTTGACATTATTGCCTTCATGGTAGTGTTAATGATTGCTTGACCTAAAAATTATAGTGACAATTTCACTAATCTATAAAAATAGGTAATAGATAAAAAAGTGCAAAAAGTAACGATTTCCATACGATGTGTGAAATTTTTTTATGTTCAAACATTGCTGTGTCATCAATGGTTTTAACAACTTTAGTAAATAGACAATTTGGAATGTTTCAATTATAATTATTTATATTTTTGTAGTCTATTTGATTTGATATTTATATTTATAGACTTTCTAATAAGTAATGTTTCATTAAAATATCTTAAATTGCGGATTTTACAGTTTAAAAATATAAAATAATTAGAGACAAACGCTATCTCTCGAGCAATAACTTCTTTACTTATGTCAACCCATAAATATTTTAATAAACGATTATGATTACTTTTAGCTGTAGGGTATAATCATATATGAGAAGTAAAAGGTACTTAAATGGTTTGGTACTATCAATTAAAATGATTAGAATTATTATTGAAGAAGCAGGTTGCTGCATATAAGACTTTTATAATGTTTAATGCAATTGCAGATATGAAATTATCAATTTAACCATTTAAAATCAGCTTCTTATCGTCCTTAAAGTATTAGAAATTGGTTTAGAGTGTTTATGGATGTTTTGACGGATTTGAGAGTTTAATCTAATTGATTCTACGCCCAGTTAGTGTGTAACATAAATAATAATAATAAAATCACTCAAAATCTACAGGATTTATTACTTTCCAAGATTTTGTATGCATGGACCTTTTAATTTTCTTTTAGAGTGAATATTTTCTCCTTTTGTCATTAGTTAGTTTACTTAGGTAATAATTGACTTTCAATTGATATGATTAATGTGTGTTTTTTTTATTTATAGAAACTATTTGAAAATGTTTTTATTTACACCCATGAGGCATCGAATTACATTTCCTTATTAAATACATTCCAATTAATTTCGCATTGACTTTCCAATCCTTCAAAAATCCAATTCCTTAAAGGACAAAAAATTACTTTCTATAACTTCGATTTTATTAAAAAAACGTTTTTAATATCCAACTAAGTATTATAAAAACGCCAAATAACGTCAATTATTTCACAAATTACAGTTCTATCTAATGCAAAATATGTTAATGTCTTGTCAAGTTGTTCATCAATTTCATTAATGAATGGCTTTTATTTATGGAGCACCATTAAATGAATTATTAATACTTAGTCGTGAATTAAATTATTGACTGTTAAAGAGGTTTTGTTTTCACTGATGAAACCACACAGATCCATATGACAAATAACGTTGAAATACTTTCTTATCTGTCAGGAGTGGGCGAAGATCATGAGGATAAATTAAATGTGCCAGTAATTCTTTTACCTGTTCATCTTGGGTAGGTATAAATAAACAATTTAAAAAGTATTCATCATGTGTAACATTGTAATGAGTAGAACTAGGAATATATGCACCCAAAAAGTAGTTAAATATGCGCATATATATGCCGCAAAATACTTCAATATATGCGTAAAAAATTGAAAAATATGCAGAGCATATGCAATAAGAGTAATTTGTTATTTGATCGAAATAGTTTATTGATATTTATTATTATTTGTTTTATTTTACAATACCTAATATAATACTTATTAATTATTTAATTATTAACTAATTTTATTTACAAATCAACATTATTATGAAACGAATGAACAATTAGATGTTTTTCTAAATTATCTGTATTAAATGATTGTCTCCTATCAGTAAGTATGTACTTGTACAAAGAAAAACTCCTTTCGACATCTACAGAACTAATAGGTATAAACTTAAATTTTCCTGAAATATCTGGATGAATAGTATTAATATCTTCAAAGTTACCAGAATAAATATTAGTAAGGTTTCTTAAAACAATAAATCCTTCATTTTTTAAAATTACATTTAAATATTTATTTTTACACTCTAATTAAAACGTCTTAATTAAATTTACGGAAGTCACCAAAGTTAGTTTTTTTTGTTCTAAATCTAATATAATTTTGGGTACAAATGCATAATTTTTTAAAAACACTAATTGCTTTGGTAATATGTGATTTTGAAACAACTTCTTTGTATTAGATATTCCCTTAGATGAATTATCAAAATCAAATATGATTTCTTTAATTTTTTCATAATTATCTGCGTAAAAAAGGCAGCTTTAAGCCAGGTACCTCACCGAAAAATCACAGGTTCCGGTGGTATCTGTAATTCAGTAAATTTTTCTTTATACAATTGAGTTCTTAGAGGAGCTTTAAGAAATATTTTTTTTTACATTACTAATTAAATCATTTATTAAAGGAAAGTTAGACCTAATTTATTCTGCAACTCTGTTAAAGCCATGAGCCAAACATGTAACATGGATTAAGTTTTCATAAAACATTTTTAAATTTTATGCGGCTTTTACCATGTACGGGGCAGCA